ACCCATGCACGCCGGCGAACGAGAGAGACAGAGAGAGAAAGAGAAGTTTATCTGGCTTTCACATTCCAGCGAGCGCGAAACGATTTGCCTTGGTGCTTTATTAACGGGCTTTAATTGCGAGTGCAACAAACCCGGCGCCGTGTTTGGTGCCGATTAATCTCATTTGTCAGGACACTAGCCATGCACTTCCTAGTGGTGGCTCCGATAGACTGTCCCTGATACCGGCGATCGTACGATACGACGAGGGCCTCTGCTCGATAATTAAAAGACTCCAGGCTTCCCGTTTACGCAGAAAATTCCCTGGTCCGTACCTGATTCAAGCCACAACGTACTATTTCTCTGCCTCATAGAATCCTGTTCTCTGTCCGTATTCAAACATCTCGCACCGTTTAACGAACTTCGAATGCCGTGTAGATATGTAAGTACGTTTGTTCCTCGATCTTGTCGTTCGGTACACGAAACCAGTCCCGTTTTTTCAGTGCTCGGCTCGTACCGGACAAGAGTTTCTTCCACGATAAGGTAGTTTTTCTAGCGACCCGACTCGTTCTAGACTCATACAAATCCGTTCTTTGTTACATACCTCTGCGTGTACAGCTATTTCTTGTCTCGTTTCAATCGAGCTTGTCGAGTTAATTGCTCTACTAGCTACTAATAGCATTAGGACACAGGAATTCGCTTGTACAGACGATTTAAACGTTCATTGAAATCTAATGGTATCACAGGAATTCATTGGTTCTCGAAATCTGGTCAGTGGACGTACCTTGACCCGCGCGGAGCTCGTCTTAACCTAGGCTACGCCGGAGGCCGAAACGAAAGAGAAGGTGAACGCAAATACGGCGTAAATCACGCTCGTTCCGCGCACGCAGGCACGTACGCACGCGGGTGAAATCAATCGAACCGAGTGATCGAAGATCGCCAGGCTGGTATCAATAACCCCAATCACCGAGTCGTTAAGGGATCGCGGTCAAGCATGGCCCTTAACGATGCAATTAGAACGCAACGAGGGTGCTCGAATTAGGGTTGATAAATGTCGAGGAACGCCCCCGCTCCGCTCGCTCGCAATCAGAGGCCGACGAATTTATTCGGTACGTAGACGCAATATACCGACTCGGTTCGCGTCATTAATCCTCTGTCGCGGCAGTAATAAGCCCTTAATCTTCTCCAGCCCGGCTACCAGAGTACCTCCGTACACCCGCTTGCAAAAGTATCGCATTTATTGAAAATTATGTAAAACCGAATCGTCCTTAGCAAGTAATTCGAATCTTCAAGAACTGCTAGCAAATTTCTGTGCTCTCACCATTAGGATATTACATAAATAAATAATTTATTGGAATACGTTTGTAACACTTCGAATTAATTTGATTTCGATCAATTATTACGTTTCGTGTAAGACGAGGCGTGTATGCACGTTATTCAAAAGGACGTGCTTCTCACGCGGTCACGGCGACGTTATTTACGATCGTAAAGACACTTTTAGCGCCGCCGCGATTAATAAAGCTAATTAATGCGGTTAATAAATATCGGGCCGGCCGCGTTAAATCACGCCGAAGGCCGGCCACCGGCCGGGGCTTCTGCGGGTTCTACGTGCGATTCTTTTTCTATTTCCCTCACTTCCTCGCTCTTTTCAACTACTTCCAGCTTTCTTATTGCCGAAGCGCGAAGTTGATGGAGTATTGTCCTTGGCGTGAGCATTTTTTCAATGAAATATAATATACGAGTTTAACTAGGAGCATTTAATTCTTCCGAAGCCGTTTCGCGCTCGCCTCGAATACTGAATTTTCAATGATCCCGCTTCGCAATTATTTTTAAATCCGAATCAATAAGAAATTAGTATTTTATTACTTGTTTCTCTTTAAGAATTTATTTAACGTTCTCTCGTGCGGGTGTAACGTTCCATAAATGGTCACAGTTTAACAGTCTGCAATTTCAATTCGTTTAAATGCACTATAAAAAGTGTGGATTTATTTCTACCGCGCCACGTAATCGGTGAAGGTGAAAGTTCGAGGATCGTCCGCGGTGTCCTGTAAATCATTCGACCGGCTCGCGAGGGAATAAAACAACGAGCATTTGCACCACCGCGAGATTTATCGATTACCACCAGACGCATCGCGATAGATTTTTGTATAAATCGCAGATCAATTATGAAGTTGGACAAAATTGTGTTTTATTGCTGTCGCGATTTTTGCTTGAGAAATATTAGACGTTTGATGAAAATCGAGGACCGATCGAATTTCTAAGACGACGACGAGTACCGATGGGTCGGTCGCCAATTATACCAATTACCGAGCGGAATCGACGCGCACGTCGCGCCAACCGAAAGGCGAAACCGCTCATTAAATCGAGCTTTAATATCCTTTCATCCCGTAATGGGACGGACTGGGCTCATCGCAGACCTCACCGCGAACAGGGAACGTTGCCCGGCTCCTGCTGGGCCCGCCTGGGCTCTCAGGGTCGCTCGATCCGAAGTAAGGTCGCGTCAAGGCCGCAGACTCGCTCGCCAGTCGCTCTTTGTAACTCCTCAAATAGTTAAACACGATGCGTTTCCGATACGCTACAAGTTATGTTAATAGCCAATGAAACGACGCTTGAGAAATCGTGCGAAGCTCGTTTTGCAACCGAGGCAATTTTTCATTAATATTCCTTTTACTTTATTGTTCCGAGATCTCGTGTCTGTCACGGGTATCAATTACTTTTATTTATCGGTATACTTTCTAATGATCTTACACGTATGGGGCATTGGAACGCTGCGATTCACATTACAGGAATCCGGCACGACGTCCTTCAATTGTCTATCTTGAAATCTTGACTTTGACTCAGGATAAATATTCTTCGTTCGAAATATATTTACTTAAAAATTTAATTCTATTTCCGATGTTCGAGGTTGAACAAAAGGTGTTCCGACGTTACTTACTTTCGTCCGTTGAAGCCTGACTTTTTATTTCGCAATCTGACGAGGTTCGTGGTCTCGACTTTCGTTCGACATAATACATTACCCTCGCCCGCTCTTAAGCCGCCGATTATGCACGCGATATTTATGCGCGACGAAGACATTAACCGATTTTACTTCTCGTCCGGCGTTAATCGCTTCGGATAAGCAGAAATGATTTTCTTAAGCGTCGACGATTAAACTCGTCGAGGCACGAAGAAAGGGTTTAGGCTTGGCTATAAGTTGAATAATCGATTATATTTGGTAAAACATTTACAAGGTAATAAGACTTTTTTTTGTTCATTTAACGTTATTACATTTACAGGCAAGGCATCCGTCAAAGACCGTACCAACTCTATAGTAATCGTAGTAATTGTATAATGTTTACTTAATAAGAAAGTATTTATACCATCGAATTATCTTTATCGATAATCGCTATCAATATTTAATATAATTACGGTAGCGCTACTCTTATTAATTCTTTTCTCAGGAACAAATACATATTCATTTTTCTGTGTTTCATCTCATTTATATATATATAATATATATATATATATATATTTACCATCATTTTCTGTGTTGCTTTTAATCTTTAATATACATCAATTCGCGATTACATTTAACGGTGTTTAGAGAACTGCACTCCGCGTAGGCAAAACGAGAATTTGGACACAATCCTTTTTCCGAGTGCTTATGCCCCCATGCGTTTCGTGGACGATCGAACGGACAAAGAAAATATTTGTAGCAGTTATCATAGAGAGTATGTACGACGTTTATTGTATGTGTTTACGTATATAAAAGAAAAGGGAGAGAGAGAGAGAGAGAGAGAGAGAGAGAGAGAGATAGAAATGACAATACGGAAACCACCCGTCGAAAGGCGGACAGACAGAGACAGGAAGAGAGTACGTAGCATGTCGTGTTTGCTGAACTATTGCACTATACTGATTCACGGTTAACTAGGCTGCAAAAGCTTGTGGACTCTCCATGTGGCCACTCGTCTTATATACTTTGAACGTGACAATATTTCCGACTGAAACATTGCTGGAATTGCTTGTCTCAAACTTTCGATTAAAGAAAAAAAGAATTATCGTTTTATTAAGAAGAAAACCTTTTAAAAATGAAAACGAAGCAAGTCGTCGACATCGAAATTGTTTATTAATGATTTTGTAACATTCAGCGATTAAAAGTATGCGAATTCTATTTTGAAGTCGTGTTCAAACATCTCCAGCAGTGTTCGAATCGATTCGAATAAATGCCTAAGCTAAGAATCACTCGAGCGACCAGTGATTTGTTCAAAAACGATCCGCTCCTTCTCAGCGAAGAGACGATCGAGTTAAAACGGAGAGGGAAAATGGAAACGCGTGTTGCGTTCGTTTAAACAATCGGCGAGTCGTTCGTCAACCCCTTCTGCCTCCCACAACCCCAGTCGATGGAATGTTAGTCTGTATTTTCACGGACTCGAGAGTTATGGCCATTGATCATCCCCGTAAAACGTATTTTACACAGTGGTGCGTACAGGCAGAGTCGATAAGAACTACCGGTAAAATTAGTCGATTAATCGAATGAAACGAACTTCCAAATGCCCACTGAATACAGAATTTCGATGGAACTCACTCAAACAAGATCGATGGTAAAATTCCAAGCGACAGCTCTCGTCGACTCGGCCTGCACGTATTTATAATATACGCATTTATATAATAATAATAATATTAATAATAATAATATATTCTCTGTATCGCATTGAAAGCAACTCGACTCGACGTTTTCATCTTCGTGATAAACTATGTACAAAAAAACAACTCGCGATAAACTAGTTTCCACCCCTTTCGTTTCGACGTCAGTTCGGGGAGCGAAAATACTAATAATAAAACAAAGCATAATGCAACGTAATCGTGGACAAATTAACGAAATAGAATGAGAACGATCTCTGTGATGGTCGGCCCGATCCTTTTCCCGAATTCGTTGGAGCGACTCGTTGGTCCAACAGAGAGAACAATTTTCTGTCCAATTAAAGAGAAACAAAAACGATAGGAAGAAATTCGCACGCGTGTTTACACACCGCTACGTGTATTATTAATAAATCAGTGTTCTTTGGTAACACACAGTGATGCGTCCGGAGACCACAAATACGATTTCAACGTATTGTCCGATCGTGACAAGATGGTCCCGATTAATAACATGCAGCCTTGGCCGAGGATTATCTCTCAACAGAGATTAACGATTGCAAAACTTGTCCTCTTTCGTCATAGATTTTCCCGCGGACTCGGAACAACTTGAAACGTTGATTGATTCATCGTTCCTGAATCTTTGACAGACGTGAAATGATTGGAAAGTTGAGAAACCAAGTCTCGAAGTCGGCATTCGCTGAATCCCCGAGCAAATCTGCACAATTCAAGTACTATACTCTCAACCAGTGCACGATTCGTACGTACGACTATTATCGATCGACTGATCGTTTCCGAGGAAAACTCCATCTTGTCCTTCGAGCTACGTATATACACGATCCCTCTATGTACAACGGTGACTGAAACTTTCGACCGACTCGCACCAAGTGCCGAGACTCGGATCCCCTTTCGGGATACTTTCACGATCAGCCGTATGTACATAACAACAGCGACCCGTGCCGGTCGGGAAAACGGCTGTGACGTTCCGTACGCATAGTTGGAGCGTGCTCTGATCGAGAAAAACGGTCATGTGGCTAGTAAAACTCGCCTGAACGGTATAAAAACTGTTTCGACGTGGTTTCTGACTCCGTTGTCACAGACGATGAAGATCTGTCGATCTGTCGGTGAATCTCGTTTATTATACTGTCGTTCGTTAACTGTACTGCTTCTTTTAAATACTGCTTCAACAGATCTCTGGATTGTTCATCGGAGCGCTTTAAGAAACCGCGACGTCTCACAGTTTTTATGCGTTCGAGCAACGATCAATCACGTCGGATCTCGCAGGCACCCTCGCACGCACGCAGCACGCACTGTCTCGTAATCTCTTAAGCTTAAGCTTATCGATAGTTAAGTAAATATCTGTAAATCCTCTCTATGTACACCCTGTTTGAATAATTCCCTTAAACCTAGCCCGAAGGACCCCTCGGCGTCCTCCGGTGATCCCCACGCCTAGAACTCGGGCGAAATCCAGCCGGTCCTCATCCTCTGTTTAATTGGAGAGCCGCCAGTCTGAGCGAGAGGCTCGCAGTTCGATCAACGTTTCGCGTCCGTCGGGTTAAGTTTCGTTGGGTTTAAAGCATCCATCTCGTTTCCGGTTAAGGACGACGGTGACCCTTCATTAACGGCCGGTAATAATTCCGTTTGCGTGCCGGCGTTCAAGTCTCCGGCTTCTTCGAGGATTCACCCGTTCGTGCGGCTCCTCCTCGGTTGCTACTTGAAAAGACTTACAGGCCGAGCTGGCCACCGGCTAAGTAAACGTAACTCTATGGTTGCTGAAGCAACAATTGCTCGAGCTCGTCGGCCGACCTCAGTAAAAATGCCGCGGACTCTCGATATCCGGTGATCAGTTGCTTGACGGCCGTCATTTCCGTCGCGTTTAGCTTGTGACTCAACAGCGGCTTCGTATTCTTCATGCTCAGGTCCGTCGGCCCTAGGAGGTAAATTGAATTTCGTTAGGAACAGATTCGTGATTCTCATCGATTCTTAGAAAGCTGACATTTGAATCAAGCAAATTAATTTAAGGATGTATTGGCTATACAGTCAATCCCAAAAGTTTATGCACTTTAGAAACGCATTTTTTAAAAAGAAATCGGACGTCGGAAAAACATTGCTAATAATAAACAACAACAAAAAATTTTCGATTTTCCCGAGATTTTTCCAAGGGGTACCCCTTCAATTTCTTCCAAATTTTCGTTTTTGGCCAATAACTCCCAAACCGCTGGACATACGGGAAAACTGCATAGGACCTTTCTTGTAGNTGAATATTTCCTTCTATACTTTTTAGCACGTAGCTATTTATTATTAGCATTATTCTTCCGACGTCTGATTTCTTTTTAATTATAGGAAATGCGTTTTTCTAAGGTACATAAACTTTGGGGATTGAGTGTATAGCCAATACATCCTTAAGCGAGAAATAAATGCCTCGAGCTTCTTATTACGAGCATTGATGATTAAACATAAAATTGTGCGGTACGCAGAATTCATGCACGTAAAATGAAACACCGATAAGCATTATTACTTTGTGTACCGTTGCTCAGTAGTCCGGAAGTGAAGCTCTGAGTCGGATAGAGTCCCGCGGAGAGTGTCGGTGGGACCGTAGTGGGTCCGGCACGCTGGAACGCCTGGCTGAAGTTCGGTCTGTACATCGCCGTCGGTGCACCGCCGCTGGCGACGCCGTTTACCGTCGACGAGCTGACTATCGTCGCTTGGCTGGGAACAAAAAAAATCGTCGTCGCTCGTTTTAGCGATTATCCATTATGCGTAGCAATGTAATGTATCGGCTCCGATTCCGCCTCCGGCCTTTCTTTCGCTCGGTGATCTTTGACCGTCTAGGCGGCTTTATCTCCGGCTCATTGCGCCTCTGTGAATGAGACCCGAGAATGGAGAACCGATTACGAGGCTAGAAAACGTGACTTCTTTTAGCTTTGACTCTATTGTTAATCGTCCGTCTATTAAGTTTCTTTTAATTATGAAACGAGGCTCGTTTTATTTTCAACTTGAAACGAGATACAGTTGTACTTAAAACGTAAAACGCAATTATACGGGTGTAGAGGCGCGAGAATAACTTTTTCTACAATTTAATACTACGGTTAAAGGTGAACGTTAAAATTAGTTTTAAACGGAAATAGTTTTGCTTAAAATGTTTCTCGTGCGGGCTAAGTAAATTTCACTATTTTCATTTCAGTTAGAAAGGATCAGCTTGTTTAATTAAAATCGATGTCCGCGGATCTGAATATCACCTCGTCTAGGCGATATTCTCGTACTCGAAGCATTCAACGATACGATTTTACTCTCAAAAATTATGTTGTTAAATATAGTTAATATTATTGGATTGGCACCTAAATAATTGCGAGGTTGTCAATAGACTTATTTAAAATCCGCAATCACTTAGTTGCCAACTCAATAGATTTACCCTGGTCGTGATTCATTTAAACAGACACTACTCATCGGTGAGAAATTAATTTACAAGTTCGAACTTATTTTCTCACGAAACCTTGTACATTTTCGATAGTTACGAGATTACTATTGGACGAGCGTTATTTAAGTTCTACTAACCTCATGAGACCCTTGCTGTCGGCCGGCGTGAGCAGCTTCGACGCTGGCGTGAGGGACAAGGGCGTAGAAGAGAGGGTGCTGCTCGGCAAGTTCGCCAAACTGGTTAACGGCGCCAAAGACGTTAGCGATGCCGGCGGTGTGTCCTCCCTCTTACCCGGAAGTGATTTCACCGGCGTACTCGAGAAATGCTCCAAACTTGACCGGACATCCGTTTGCTGCAACGAGAAGCCAATCTTAGAGCCCCGAGTTAAATTATCCAGCGTCGAGAATATTTTAAAACTAACTCGCAGGGAAACGAGTTTCCTGTATACTTGCTAACAAATTCGTAATTTAATAAGCTCGTTAAACTTAATTCAAGATTAAACCTAAGGGTAATTCATCCCGTCGCGTGGTAAATATTAATTTCAGGATTGATTTAAAAATAAATTCTGAACACGCGAGGCATGAAGAGTTCGGAATCATCGTTCTCGAACACGGGGCACGACTTTTGGATCGCTCGGTAAACGGACTATAATCGTAACGGCGATTGGCCGGAGCCCCTCCGAGTCCACGCGAATAACCATTATCAGAAGCCTCGCGTTTTTAAGCATTCTGACCCAGTTTTCGCCAGTGGCGATCGAGAATCAGCTTAGTTAGCGCGAAAATTGCTCCGATGAACGAAGGCAACGTGACCTTTCTTCCCGTACCTGCTGAGTCTGCACGCGGTCGTACACCTGCTTGTGCATCACCCTCAGATTTTTTTTCCTCATCTTCGATGCTCCTTTTACTGTCACCGTTTCATTCTTAATGTTCACACCGTCGTCTCACTGGCCGCCGCACCTACGAACTACACCGCACCACTTTGTCGTTGATCCACGTGGATCGAATCACTGATCCACCGTCGAACGAACGGTCCATCGGTCGACGAGAGAATCATCTTCGGTCGAGGCGAGCGACGGAAAAAACGTTGAGAAGAAACGAGTCGGTAGCAGCGACGACGAGGCGTGAGTAAGCTCTATCTCTCTCTCTCTGGGGAAATGGAGAAGAAAGCAAGGGGAGGTGCGTGTAACGCGGGAAACGCGAGTACTCGCGGGCACGGCCGCGCGGAGGAATGAAATCCGTCGTCGTGAGAGAAGGAACGGATGTAGGGAGGTGTTTTTATGAAAGGCGAGCAGTGTGCGTTGACGTCAATTATATAGGTGGCCACGGAAGATAGCCGCTCCGTGCTCGAACCCCGGTCTTCTCTCCTTAATGGGTTAGGTTTAGGTCGCAGAGGTTATCGGTCTCCCTCCCTCTGTACCTCTCCTTCTTCGTTACGGTAGGGATTTTCAAAGTTGATAACTCTCTGGCTAGACGTGGTGGGAAAAAGTAGGTGTACGGTGTCCACGACGGCAGGGGGAGGATTAGGCGCGCCGACATGCGAGACCGTCGCCCACGCGTTCACCATGCGACGACGCGGCGAACGCGCTTTCTGTCTTTCATTCAGGGTGAACGAACCACGATGAAAGGTAAAACGACTCGACGTTGAAAAACAAGAAAAGACACATCGACGGTTCCTCTGTCAGAGGACGAAGTAAAGCTTGCCTAGAAGCTCGGGACGAAGGACTCGATCCGTTTGGTTCGCCGATCGTTCGTATTAACAAAAATCAGGAGAACGATGTACCACAGGAACTCTAAAATATTCACGATTTTCGTGAATGATACTGAAAAATTTGCGTGAGGCACGTGCCGAACGCACAAAGACTAATTTCGAACACGTTCGGAAAATACCAGAGCGGAGTTATTCGCGGGTGGAATCTGAAAATTTCGGCGGCCGGTTCATGGCGTATTGACAACTCCCCGTTCGCGCACGAACAGAGAGCGTTTAGATTTTTCCGTCTGTCCCACGCGTGGAACGTGTACGCATTGCATCAGAGTGGGAGAGGTGCGCGACCCACGAGGTTATCACCGCACCGGCCTCTCTGTACTCTGTGTACCTATATCAATCCTAGCTCCAAAGCGTTGCGCAGGAGTTCTCTCTCTCTCTCTCTCTCTCGGATCTCGATGAGCGATAATTTTATGTCCGGGGCCACTTTTATGGAAAACTTTATCGTTACACGGTGTTGCGTCATATGGAATACCAATTATTAGCTAATTTCATTAGAGTATTGCTCGACTGTCACAGATACGATTCTTTATACAAGTTAATCAAGGACTGTTTACATCTCTTCGATTAAAACTTTTAATAAAATATTTAAACTTTCGCTCCGATAATGATTCGATTAAAAAATCGACGAGATTAGATGGTTTATATCGATAAGGAAAAAATTATTTTTTACGTGTAAATGTTGGAAAGCTCGTAAACGGAGGTACGTGTCAGAGTGGATGCTGTTGCAATACAGTTCACGTGCAAAGTCTGGGCAGAGTCATATTCGAATCACGTGATGATCTCTAACGTATGTTGAACTCCTGTATCATCATCGTTAGAAGTGTGGAACGAAGTTTATTAAGTTTGATAAGTACGGGAAAACAGTACTGCATCATAGTTGAATAACGTAAGACTGAAATCGACTTACACGATTCATTTCTTATCTATTGCCTAATTGCCATTGTTTATTACGGAGAATCAGAAGGATAATGTCCGCTGACGAACGAAAGGATGCTCGAGTCGTGTCTCGTGTTCTTTGAGAACGTTTTTACTGTTAATGACATTAGAATGATACAGGAAGCGTTATCGCTTCGGATATTTTCAATGAACGGGATTGCGCGATAAGACTTTGCGTTAAGGAAAGCCGTGCTCTCTTTTAATTCTAATTTTACTCACCGTGGCGGCCGGAAGAGTTGGCATGGGCTGCGAGATAGGCTCCTTACCGAGTTTCATGCGTTTCGCGTTGTCGCTTTCATTTTCGCAGGCCGTTGCCAAAATCTGTTCGGCTTGCACGGAGGTCAAGTGTGCCGGAGTGGGCCTCGCCTAAAACGAAACGGTGTTCACGTGATCGTCGCATACCGAAAAGCCTCGGGACCTGACTCATCCCCTGGAAATTCCCCTCTCACAGACACGCGTAGCGAACACTTCCTAATTCGAACAACAAGAATCACTCGATCTCTGTTGAAATCGTTTCTTCTCGTTGCAAGTTTCATAAATACGCGGATCATCACTCTAGTTTGTAAACTGTGCGCTTACGAATATCGTGAGATAAAAAATAGAACTCACGGCATCCCAGGGTGCGCCCTCCCTGCCACGCTTGTTCCTTCGACAGCTCTTCAGGTACGTTCTGATCCTCTTCCTAGCTCTCTCTGCGAACTCTGGGAACTGCCTGGTGCAACTGTCGATTATCGCCTGTATCTTCTCCTTGGGTTGCTTCGAGATGGGCACGATGCGGTCCAGGTTCTCGTCGACGAACAGCCTGACGAACATCTGTGAGACGATAGAGAGACGCGTACAGAAATGGAATGAATTAAAAGAGACCGTGGCACTTGGCCGCCGCTGGAATTAAGGATTTCGCGGTGGTGGGGACTCTATTAAACTAATTGTAATTAATTAAGGAGCCGGCCGGCCATCTGTGGGGCCCCGTGGATTTCAGCCACAGGAGAAGGAAGCTCGGTTTCATAAAACTTTACGATAATTGCGGCTTTTTCGGGACGAGGGAAGTCCAATAGCGGACGGCTTAGCGTTCATTTCGAACACCCGCTCTCGCGTTTTTCCCTTCCGTGCGCGCGGGCAACAACAACTTCGTATCTTTTTACGCGGTTACACAGCGCCCGGCTAATGCTGCCCGCAATAAACTCGCCATTTCCGGTTTAATGCAACTCCTCGCGCTTCCCCTCGCTGCGGTTTCCAGGTGTTCCGCCGTTTCTACGGACGCTTAGCCCGGATAATTACACGAAAACGATCGCCCCGTGATGCGCTCTGACCGGGATATGAAACTTTTGTGTCCGAGATAAAAAAAAATAATACACAGCCAAATGAGGATTAAAAAAACGAACTATAGAGCACAAGATCCAATCCGGTTTTCGATTGAATTTCTCTATGAAAATTTCTTCGAGCTTGACTCGCGTCACAAAATATTTCGATCCTCGATAAAATTAGAGACATAATTTATGTTTATTTCGTTTCACGGATGAAGCGTCAAAGTCGAACTTACGTTGAAAGCTTTTTGGCGTTCCGGGTCGTGATATCTGGGGTCCAGCCTGTCGTCGAGCCTCTCGTCGGCGTCTTCGTCATCGTCGTCCTCGTCCTCCTTGTTGCCGCTGCTGCTGGTCTCGTCGTGAGCGCTGCCAGTCCCCTCGCCGGGCGGGCTGGACTCGCGATCGCGCGAGGGCGTCGCGGCGAACGTCGGCGGCGGCGTCTTCTTCAGTCCCATCGCGTACGACGCCCACAAGGACGCCATGTCCTCGCCGCCGACTCCGACCACCGCGCCCAAATTTGGAATCGTACCGGCTGGCATGTCCACCAGATCCGACGAACCGTTTCGCGAGTCTGAAAATCCAATTTCAAATGAATCAGTCATTGCCCATCGGGACTTACAGAATGATAGAAGAAATTTACGTGACAGGCACAATCCTTGTAATTAAATTGTTAGCATATTATTGGCTCACATTGTGACTATGATTTTGCACGTTTTAAATTGACAATCGCTGCGATTGTACGAAGTGGCGTTAAACCGTGAACTTTTTATCGCCGCATCTAGAACGGCGCCTGTCAACTTGTTGCGCCTACCCAACCGCCGCGAAGACAATTCGAATAACCTCGCAGCTTTTCCGTACATTCTATCGATTCCCTTCAAACGTTTCCCTCTTCGAATCTCCGGACTGTGTTCATTGTTGGGCAAATATTGGCGAACCGAGGAGTCCCTTATTGTGTCGTACGTGAATCTGCTCGACATCTTCGCTGCGTAATCGTTTTATATAGGTTGAAAATGTTTAACGAAATGGTTTTAATAGCCGAGGATCGTAACGAGTAACGAGATTGATGGGGTATTTAAATTTAATCCTTGGACAGTGCCCTAATTAGACCGGGGAATATTGTACATGCGTGAACGGTGTTTATGACATAAATATAATAACGATGTCACGTTTGAATTGCGTGACGCCGCTGATTAAGAAACGGTAAGTCGCTCATTCTCGCGTTACGCGTATGATGCACGATGCTATTAGCGTTACAGTTACCCTCGTTCACGATGAAGACGAGATAATTCGAGTTACATACTGTGTACGTATTATCCTGAAACGAGAGCGATACGTCAAATCGCACTCCAGGTTATACAAATTTACAAATTATCCTGTATATTGTACAAAGGATCTTGAAGAACTTTCAATCTTCCCATGTGCTAAGTATATTTCACGATCGAACTTGTACAATGCGGATCGCTAAGGGCCGACGTTCAATACGGAGTCTATAAGCTTTATGTCGTTCGCAACCACCGAATGTCCGATGCCGGCCATCGTCGTCTGGCCGTTTGTTTTAACATCTACATTGCAGATTCAATGTAGATGATACCGGCGAGCCAGCCTTGAGAATCTACAATGTACTCGTTATAAACATTTAGTATTGTTAATACAATGCACTGCACAAGCAACCTTGAGAGTGTATAATATAAAATTCTTACGTGGAATGAACAGAAGCGATATCGCCTGAGAACCAGTAGGTAAAACCTTAATAAGAATTAGGAAGGAAACCACGTTTTATTAGCCGCCTCAGAGCTTTCCCTGTTATTCTGAATGACTAAAACTGCCGGTCCACGGCTCGAAACACCGTTGCTATTTACAGCCTTGACTCGAACGTATCCTGGCCGTGCAAAAAGGCCGACCTGTTTCCAAAACCCGTAATAAGAGTCTAAGTAGATCCCTACCATCGGGTTTCGAGGAAAAAGGCACGCCACCAGTCCCGGGAGAACGTACGAAGGTGCTTTCACGAGGATGTTGCGCCGAGGACAGGTACCGAGCCCGACAGGCTACACTATCGTTCACAAATGTTTCACGATGAAAATTTCCAACAAAAATTGGTCATTGTCACAAATTAAACTTTGCGAATCGAGGTTTCATGAAAAGGCTACGCGATCAATTAATGTTTCCTGCTAATATTATTAGAAAACGTAATTTAATTTTCAATACCATTTATCACTCGGTTCTCAATTTTACTTACGACGAGTAAACGAATTATGAGAAAGATTTAAGAGCGATTCGTTATAAATGATAAAGATAGTGGAACGGTGGATACTTCTGCACGATAGTGTACCTACGCGCGAACCCGGCCAACGTGCAACAGCGAATCGTAGGTAGGGAGCGCCGCAGGGGAACCGTAAAGAGGCTACCTCGGGCTCACGGACTTCTGCCTACACGCGATACACTGCGAGAGTTCTGGATTAGAAAAGGTGGACTGGGTGTGGAAGTGGGACTGGCCGAGGGGAACGCGCAGAAATATGGTGTGGCCGTTGGAAAAATGTGGAGATACGTGGTAGCTTTAGAAATGTGCGAGGTTACACCGGCAAGCTTTCATTGATTTATCTTTAGCAATTTATAACTAGAGAAAGGAAGCTTGATTAAGGAAACTCCTAACTTAATCGAACGTTTAATACGATCGCAAATACGATTTAATACGAATAACGGACGTCTGTACTTTCCCTGAACGGATCATATCTGTCATACGAGGGAAAGAGGAGTCAGTTTCAAATGAACGAGGAACGACCATAAATCTGAAATAGTTGCCCGTCCTACGATTCTAATTCCGCGGTGTTCAATTGCTCGCGCACGCAGCCGAGCTTCCAGGAAGATTCCGGTAGAACCAGTAACTGAACAGGCGCGAGTAGACGACCCAGGAAACTGGACCCTCGTCCAGGAGGCGGTCCTCCTTCCCTTTCCCCCGGGCTCTGTGCAGCGGTGCAGAGGTTGCTGCACCTTGGGTTCTTGCTCGTACCCGAGAACAATTCGTGGCCACACGAGGAACGCGGAGAGCGGAACGGGCTATTCCCTTGCCCTTGGTCAGGGAATTTCCCCGTTTGCCAGTCTTCTTCTCCGATTCGTTTTATAAAGCAATTATCCAGTGAATATTTCAACACACGTAAAATTCACGTGTTCCGAGTTTACCCGTAATGAATTATTAATAGTATCCCGATAGTATCGCAATTTTAGATGATTTCGAAAGGATTGTAATGGCTCGATTCACTGCGGAATTGCAGTAGAGTCGTAATACTCTACCGAGTAAGATGATGCACTCGTGTCGTGAAAAATCCGTTAATTTCACAAATTGTAGAACAGACACAGGCTTTCTCCACGGTTAGGCTGGGCGGTACGCAGGAAACTTTGTATGCTTGTACGTAGGCACGTACTACGGGGTACGGTACTACGTGCACCGAGGCGAGGGTTCCTGGCCTGTGGCGGATGCCGGCATCGCTAAAGCGACGTGGGGGGACCGGAGGGGCTAGGCTAGAAAGCCGGTTAGCAATCCCAGTCCCAGCACCGTTCCCGAACCCGGCTCTCCGCAAGGCCTGAACCTGAAATCAGTCGCCGCGCCACAAACCACCCCACCCGGCAGTTCGTCCTCCTTCATTCTTTCCAACCGCTTCCCGCAAAAGGAAACTAATACCCGGCCCCGGCGGCTTCCTCTTTTTCTAGCCGTAGCCTCGGTCTACGTATGCGTGCAACAAAATTCACGGACGAGCTGGCGCACGCCCACGGACCCGGCCTATGAATACCGGCGCCGATCTCCAACTACGGGGAGCACCGTGTCTTTTATCTCGTTCAGCCAACGAGCTAGAATGTTGCCCCGTGTACGTAGCTACGTGTGTACGTAAAGATCTTGCGGATTTAATGCCACCGTTCTCGCTCGAGCGCATTTTGTTGCAATTTCATATTCAAAATTTAACATAGAAATTATTAGGATCGTCACGTGACATCACTGGTTATTCTTTGATCTTATTAAATAATTATACGCAGATCGATGCATCAAAAATTGTGTTCGTACTTTCAAGGTTCTTTTAGTAGAAACAGTGAACGGTCGCTCAGACGATTGTATACTGACTCATTTTGCACAATACCGTTTTGCATGAAATGCTTAGAATCGCGATCGTCTGGGGATTTTGTAGAAACAGCGCGAACAGATTCGCCGGGCTTATCAAGATTCGCGTTATCCGAAAATCGGCTGGCGACACGTACGGCCGTGAGGAGAAAACGAAAGTACGCCGCAAGAGCTAATAACCATACGAGAAAATCGCCTCGCGGTTCTTCTTCCCAGCCGTCGCTTTCGTAAATGTCACCGGCCGTTAAAGCGATGATTCTTTATCGCGTCGTTCGAGCCTCGGTATTCCAGCGGATGAAAAACCGCAGGGAACTTTTCCAGCAGGTACGCGCGTTGAAAGCGTGTTTCCACACTAGTAATAAATAAAACTCATGCTTCGAGGAAACCGAAGGAATATGCTTCTGGAAGCGTGTAAATATTTAAGATTCTGTCTACCAGTCCCAGTGGTTTACCTATTCGGTTCGCAGAACAGCTTCCTCTTAAATTCTTAATAAGTAACGTCTTAAGTGACGATACTAATTTACCTATCCTTTTTCAATTTCGATTTTTCCATAAGTGTATCAAGGAAATCCACATAAAGAAACAGATTTCTATATCCGATTGATAAATTTGCATACGCCCTGGCCAGGTTCCCGCTCGCAAAATCGATTCGCCGATAAAAGGCTGCCACATTCTGCGCGCTGAGAGAAGATAGGGAAAACGTACCGAGCGAACGAACTTTCGTTTCGCAACCGCGGCTGCGCTCTATCTAGCTTTCGTATCTCTCGAGTGCCTCGCCTTCCTTGCGGGAAACAAAAAATAGGATGAAAGAGAAGGCAAAAGATGATCCTTCCCTTAACGGTCAGCGACATTTGCGAGGATGACGGGACAATCTCGCGAGTCTTCAGATTCCTGTCAGGATACCGACCAGACGGTCTTCTACCTTCTACCTCTTCGTCCCATTTCATAGCGAGCGTTCATTTTTGCCCGATTGATAAAAATATATAATCGACGAATTATTTGCAATTCCATGCGATTTTTACTATTTAAACGACAATTACAACTTGAATATTTTGTTAACAATTTGAATTCAATTTGAACTCCTGATGGAATACTCTTAAATTATTCGTATGCATTATTATGCGTACAGTGCACAAGTGAATTTTTGCAAAAAGATAAGAGAGGATTTGCGAACGAGCGGTTATGCAAAATCAGCTTTGGCTATCGCTCGACACCAGCCGTACGTGTTCTCTCTCGTAAAGATTCTGTACCGTTAAGGCATAACTTGAACATCTTAAAGGGAAATATCAACTGATTAAAAATCGAGATAACCGCGTGACGACGGGACCGAGATCCATCCGCTGTTTCCTACGAGCTCGTCAAAACGACTCTCTTAAGTATATTGTTCACGAAACGAGATACTCCTTAAAACGATGCTTATGCATCTTTCATGGAATTTCTAACGAATCTCTACGAGCTTTCCAACAATAAATCCCAACAGTCCGATTTCGATCATCTCAGTTATCGAAGAAATGTAAAATCGAATTCCACGGAACGATAAAGATTTCAATTAGCAGAGCTCGGCACGCGGGCAGAAAACGAGGAGAGCCAGTGGGGCGGAACAAGAGTGTAAACTGATATAAAATATCGGCCGGCGTTTCCTCGCAAATTTTCCGCGGCGCTCGTAAAACGTCGCGCGCGTTTATCGCGAAATCGATTTGCGAAACGCGGCCCGGAGCGTTTGTGGGATGAAACGCAGAATCCTTCGGTGATCAAGCGCGGGGAGGAGGAGGAGGAGGGGTCGGCCGAACGATCCTGCGGCTCGCATGGCCATCGCGGTCTTCTGGCTGGTTCATTACGCAACGAGCACCGCTTCGGAGGCCCCGGTTCTGAAACCAGTTTCACCGTGCGAGCGACAAGGATCGCGGAGGGGCAGGGGCAGAGGGCAACGGTGAATTATCCTTCCGTAACCTCGCCTAACTGAACCGCTCGCCGGCGAAAAAGGAGAAGAGAGCGCCGGTTCTGAAGCGCGTTTGATGTTTACTCGCGATTAAAAGTTTTTGGTAGATCGTGAGCGAGAGACGATGATGCCTTTACTCTGTTATGGCTGCCGCTCGAGAACAGTGCTCCCGTTGTCGGCTCGAAATCATTTCGCGATGCCTTCGCCTAATTGGGATATCGGCTTCGCACACGTTACATCATAAAATTTTGATTTTTATGATATACGACTTTGTTAAATCGAACTTTCTATACTCGTCATTTTAACATTTGATCAAATTACACGTCTCGTCATAGATTCTGAACGAAGATACGACTTTTGAAATCGATAGTTAAACTGCATTACGAAACGTACTGGGAATTGTGTTTTGGACAACGTCGCTTCGAGCGAGTCCTCGAGTCTGAGCTAGCATTCACCTATTAGAAAAGGGAGATTCTCTATGCGAGGGCGATCAAGATCGGTTTTGAATGCGTCCGTTGATTCCGGTGCAATAAGTGAGTAAAAAGAGAAAGGACTGTCACGGCGTTCAACGTCTAATTTGACAGTAAAGAGTAACGCCGCGTCGGCACGCAGCGCGGTGTATCTGAATCGATTCATTCTCGGTTCTCGCGAGGGGGGCGGGGCGGACGGGGGGGAAAGAAACCGGGGGTATATCCGATGTCTGATTTGATAAGATCACCGTGTAACGTACTCGTGTACTCCGAACGGATTAAATGCTCGCACGGTTGTATCAATGCTCGCCACCTTGAATGAGAGATAAGAATAGTCGATCTAAGTGCCTGGAATAACAGATACGTATGCTATCTTAGAAAATACGTGTACACCGAGTGGTTGAATTCACTTGACGGCCGGGAATTAGCATCCGAATACATGTGCAATAGTATTAAGCGTTCTAATAGAAGATCGTTAATAGAAAGTTGGAAGTATATGAAAATTTTTGATACACCGCATGAATTTCATTGAGAAAATAAAAGATTTTCGAAACATCGGTAAATAAAATCTTGATCTGATCTTTCACCAAATTGGTCGAATTCAACGTGACGTTAATTGGAGATTGACAGGGAGAGGCACATCGGTTTTCGCGAAACGGGTCGGTCTCGCGGGCCAAAGAAGGCGCAGCGTGAATTTCCCCTGCGCTGGCGGCACGGGCAACGTCAGAGCCCGACAATCCATTAGTCACGTCGAGCTACGACGACAAAACTCGCGCGAGCTGCATAAATAGCCGGTACACCTTGGCCCCGCGAAACCTGCAATTCACTGGCCGCCGCAGAAGGACGCGCGAAACTCGAGCATTGAAATCACCGACGTTTGTCGCGACGCTCTTCTCAGCCTCACCGAAAATTAACGATATTTTTCTTTGCCTATTCAATTCGTCCCATTGATTTATTCTGTCGATCTTTCGGTCAATACATATCCAATCTTTACACGTAGATCTTCTTTAAAATTGATCGATTTACGACGATCTCTCATCACAAAATGTTTATAACGACCGCAACAAAAATATTCCCCTTACCCCCTACTGATCGTAAAAAATCGTTTCTCTACGAGAAACCCCTCGAGCAAAAGCAAAAGAAAACTCTGCACCCTTCGATCGGAAGAAAAGAAAACGAGCCGGCCGATTTTTTTTTTTCTTTGACAGTCGATGAAATAAGGTGTTACCTGTAAGTGTGGAGTTGTTAATGGTGTTGTTTGCCGTGGAAATGGCTGATTGGCTGGTGACAGGTGTGCCAACGGTGGTGGCCGTGGTTGTCGAGGAGTTATTGGGCGAGAGGGCCGCGTTGGCGGCCTGGGCCTGTGCCTGGGCCTGGGCCTGAACCTGCTGTTGAAGATTATAATTCCATGCGAGCAGCATCATCTTCAGCTTATCCGCGTCTTTCATGAGCGCGCCTGCCGAAATTAAAAGTGCCAATTGGTCTCAGGGCATGATTAACACGATGGTAATGATGGTGCCGATGCTAACAGAGGGTGTAATTCGGTCCCCTGGCCCGAGCGTGGACCAAGGCCCATTTACGCGTGTGTACATGGAGATCGTGACGTGCTCAGTAGTGTCGATTCCATGCATCGATTCGTCGGAGGACAGTGAAACGAAAGTTAGTATTTTTTTCAAGGATCGTGAGAAGTTCGAAGGTGCAAGTGGAAATATAAGTGAATATTTAAAATGGAATAGTTTAGACACTATAGTATCGTCACGAGTATTAAAGATGTCTTATTATCGTTTAACGCTGAGCATCGGGTGGGTTCGCAGTTCGCTACGCGTGTAGTCGAAACTGATTTATTTCAGTTGGAAGTTTGTTTGAGGTGTACTTAACAAAGTCTTTGTTCGCACCGGGGAATTCCTCGGCAACGTCTACGTTTACACGTCGCGTCGATTCGTTCGCTGATCGATCGACGAGCGACGTCCCCAACCCCTCGAGCCTTGGCGGACCACGCAACAGGTTTAACCATCGAAATTCTCCGGCATTCGACAAATTCTCGAGCTCGTTCGCGCGAAAATGTGATTAACGTATTTTCACGATTCTCATACGGCGTCAACGAAATACGATTTTCACTTGAGATTTCGATTGATGAATTTGATTAGTCGAAAGGCAAATTGCAATTACCTATACGAATTTCTTGTCGTAAATTTTGTGAATTTTTCAACAATCGGAGAATTAAACATGCGATCCTTGTAATAATTAAAGAATTTTGCAATGCATCTGGAAAGGTAGAGAACGATGATACAAAAGCGCGACAGCGAACTCGTCGAGTGTCAATTAAAACCTCACGCCCGATAAATACGATTTCACCCCGATTGTGCACGCTCTTCATTATTGATCCCTTTCCGTCTCGCGTATAAAGGTGTAATTCGACGCCAGACATGATTCAACAAGCCACGTATACTTCAATTTTCATTTAAAACATTCCTCAAAGATAGGCAAACTTCTTTTTACATTTGAACAAAACGAGATGACACGAAGATGCCTCGTAGATGCAATACAATAACGAGCATGCAATATATCCAAAAATTATCGATGTGGCAGTCGTTTTTGACAACGATTTGGCAGAAAAGTCCTAAAGAGAAGTGCGAACACGATCGTTCGATCGATCATGGGAGTCGAAGGTATCGAGTTTGCGAACAATTCGATCTGTGATCGAAGGAGGACACCGAGTCGGTGCGAAGATCCTCTCCGCTGATTAATCTGTCGGTTCTCGGAACCGAGAAGCGAAACGTCATTGCGCGAGCGCGTCTCGTTTCTTTTACGTAAGGGGCCGCGTCGCGACGCGGCGGTAACGAGATTACGAGGTTGAAGTGTCGCTGCTTGCTAGCAAACACGCACTGCGTCCCGGAGTCACTTTTACAAACGCGAGCCTCTTTGTCTGAATTATTCGATGCCTAGAGGCTAAAGTCAGATGGCTAAGTGTGTCGGTAATTTTTGTCCGAATTCAGGTCGCGTCAGTCGATCCATGTCAGAATGAAATAAATCGTACATATTATGCAGGTGGTATTACGAATTCAAGGAATAGTATTGTTAGTAATAGAAGCAGTATTTTGAATGAACGACTGATCGGATGAATTTTTAAGTTTGATTCTAACTGCGTTCGATGGAAACGAGGAATTCTATTATAATTATCATTAATCGGAATTGAAACGAGACAAACGCGGAGTACCGGCGATTTCTGATTGCTTTTAATACCGTTTAATTGGCGCCTTTGATGGTTTAAATGCTTTCAACTCGGACATTGATCTTTACCCGAACGGCGGAGCTAGGTCCAAAAAGAAATTTATGTATTCTGGAGATTGCAAGAAAAAAGCAACTCGGATGCAGCAGGCAACGTTGGTCCCGTCGTTATTGCCAGGATCCTCTGTATATTCATATAACCTTTGAAGAACACGGCGAGGAAAAAAATTGGCTGAATTAATGGCAGCAACTTCAAAAGATACGTATAGATTTACATACATGATTCTTGAGATATGTTCCGGGCCGCGCTTTTAGGACGGATTAAAATTTCCTCTCTTTTACGCGACCGGGAGAAGATGCATTTTAAAAAGGGTATCGCGTTGCGAAATCTTTAATAATAAGAAACTGGATCCTAACAAGTTTCTCGGCGACAATGATCATGAATATCAAAGCCACGGTCCAGAAGTATTGTCTGTTCATATTTGTAGAGAGACCTGTTATCCTCGCTTATTCAGAATAAACAAGATTTCAGTCGATTTTGTTTTCAAGCGTGATTAGTTTCTACTCGAGGACTCCGTCGTATCCAAACATGTACAATAACGATTCCAAACGAACGACCTATCTTTTCTGACTTGATCAATCAAGAAACTGTTCAAATACAAATTCTTCTGCGTCATTGAACGCTTTTTCAATGGGTCCTATTACGATTCACGAGCATCGATACTCCAATTTCGTAGAAAAACTCGATTCGACGTGAAATCAGAACCGAGGTAGAAGACGGGATATCGAAACGACTTAAAAAATCAGTGAATCGAACGGAAGTATGAAATATTAAGACGATGAAAATCTGGCAGGGTAAATTCGCGTGGATCGATATTCGCAGCCGGTGATCGGTTTGGCTCGAGAAGCGTGATCGGCTGAGTATTCTGGATTTCCCTCTGGTTTGCTTGCAGCAGGCAGCCAGCGGCAGTCGATTCGTTCGAGCGGGGAGAATTAGCAGTGACACGTAGAAGGGTACTCGAGCCGCGCCAGAACAGAGCGAAAGCGCGAACAGAGGAACGCGCACGGGCGCGCTCGCGAGAGAGAGAGAGAGAGAGAGAGAGAGAGAGAGAGAGAGAGATTTATTAGCACCAGGGATAAAGTTGGCGGCTGACGGGAACCGTGTGACGTCTAAATCATTCAGACCCCGCTCAATAATGCAGAAACGCGACGCCCCGACGCTGTCGTTGGATTTGGGTCGGATTCCCGAAATGGCCGCGACCTGACCCCGTCCAGGGGACAACGAACGTCAAATTGAACGATTTTCGGATTGTGCTCCAGGTTCGTTGATCTCGGCTTAATTAGCCCCGCGACACATTCGTTTTTATACACGGCGCTCGACTTTCTTATTTTATATTTATCGTCACCCGCGATGTCGATTTAATTACTCGATCTATCGCTCTCAAGGAAACGGTCCTGTCAGACGAAATAAAACTCCTACATTTTTTAATCCGGTTTGAACAAACGTTCAGAGGAAACGTCTCTGCGGAACGCGTGCTTGTGATATGAGAGCGTGATATAAAATGAAAAAAAAAAAATTGCATCGATCGTCCCTGACGCGAATGGAAAACTGACAAGATCTGTAGGTACGTAATAAACGTTTTGCTTACTCGAATAATGATCGTCCTCGGAAATGTCGGCTGGCTCTGGGGTCGAAATGTTTTCCTGCAACAGAATTGAATAGTTTGTTAGTAACACGTCGATTAATCACTATCGATTTATTTCATTCAATTATCATACGTTTCCGTTCTATATTTATCTTTTCGACGTACAATTTCATACACGACCTTGCATATTTTGTTTACACTTAATTCTGCATAAAATGAAACCGGAAAAGTGGATTGAGAGCGCGGTTCTATCCGCAGAAACCGGGACGCGGCGCGGGGGGGAAGTGGGTCGGCTTCTCAGGAAAAATTAAGAGGCCGCAAAAGCTACGCGGTGTCCAGCAAACGGAGCCGCGTTTTCATGGAATCGCACGATTGTCTTCGCCTATCGCGATTGCGAAACGCCGACACAGGCTTTCCGTACACCCACCCACCGAACGGCCGTGGACTTTATTGTCCCGGATCGAGAGCCGCCGACTTGCGGTTCGTCCGGACGCAAATTACTTACGCCTCGACGTGCCGTGGCCGTGGGAAACGCGTTGAAAATCCTCAAAGAAAATCTGTAAAATCTGTATTGGTTTTAATGGGAAATAGGTATAGTAACTTTAATGCAAAGAATGTTATAAGGTTTAATATGTTCACTCTTAAGCTGTCGAATTCACACTGAACGGAACAGCCCCTATTCCTCATGCTCGAGAGGTCCATCTCCCATAGCCGTTATCGCTTATTTAGAATACGGCATGGAGATGTGTTTATGTCTATTCAATACTTTCTCCGAAGCATGATTCCATAGGAGTAAACTTCCTTTATAAGTTAAGATATCTTTTATATAAACTTCCTGAGGAAGTGTTAAATAAAGGATTGGTTTTTTTATACCATATATCTATACATTGTCTATTCGACTTGTTCGCCTGCGTCATCATTTTCTGATTCATTTCATATCTGAAGTGATCGTATAAAACTTTTATGGAGGATTGAGTGAAACTTGCATCAAGTAATTAATTAATTTAATTTATGATTATTACATCGAATCATGTCATTCGTTATGCATGATGAACTTGCAACTGTCATAATGATCGAAATAAATAAACTTTGAATTCGAAGGCTCAAACGAGTTGAACATGCGGAAATATAAGGAAGGAATACGAGAAATACGAAAAGCCGGATCTGAATCAGGCTTTTGCAGATCAACGGTGTGGACGTGTTAATTTGTACAAAAGTCGAATGATAATATTCCTGTATCGAAACTTGTTCCTTGGAACGGTACTCCTCGGCGTTCACACGCCCATTTTCCATCGATTCCAGGACCGCGAGGTCATCCTCCCATGGCTTTGGTCGCCCATGGGTTTCCCGTTGCGTCGATTCGATTTCGCAAGAGGCGTGTGCACCAGCGACGGACCCAGCACGGTTCTCCTATCTGTGTCAGGTCTCGTGTTGCAACTGCAGAAGGTCGACCGGTATACGCGCCGCGGCCAATTGATACCGGCCGCAAGTTTGTCCGCGGCGTTGTAGGACGCGGTGCCGGCTCGCACGCGCATACCGCCGAGCAAAAACCGCTGCGCTGATGTAACTAAGAAATTCCGTTCCCGCGCGAGACTCTTTCGACGAGCCTCGCATCGATCCGGAAGAAGCGGTCCGATCATTCGATCTTACGCGGATCGACGACGATCTGCATACGACGGTCGAACAATTTTACGTAATTAATTGTCACGTTTGACGAATCGGTGGGGAGCACTCGAAGACATGGTTTTCGTCGGTCATTAATAACGAGTTACATTGATTAACTCGTAAACCTCGGCACTTAATATACGCGAACACGCGCGTTCATCTATCAATGCGCTTTAAAGCACTCGTACGTATTCGAAAGTCATTAATCTCGGAACGGGAACCGCGTCATAGCAAAACAATTAAAAAGACCGGGTGCGTGCATACGTTGGAACCGCTCGGCCGGCGAATTGATAGTCCAGATCGCGAATAAAAGGTGAATCCATTAACCCATTTGCCGGACCCCGAGCCACGATAAATCTCTCCGCCTACTGGTATCGCGGATTGCACAATCCCTCGGCGGGGGGAAAAAAAGAGCGCGGCGGGAAGAGGAGAGGAAAAAAAAAGATCATTGACACGAATACTTCCTTTGAAACGCGACGGACCGATGATAATTCAACGTCGCCGTTTCCTCGATGCCGGCAGATCGCGACACCTAACTCAATCCTCCCGCGCATTCCACAATCGGCCATTTAATAATCGTTGGAATTTATTGGCCAAAGTCTTCATCCAGCTGCTACCCGGGGGCTATTTTAAGAATCTCTCATCAAGAATTTAATATTACCCAGTATACTGCGTTTTCGATACGCGTCGTTCGTTTCCGGTTCCGCTGAGAATTCCAAGATTGATTCTTTCTCTTCCGAGTTCGCGACTAGAGGCAGTAAAATGAAATATTTATAGGAGACGTTAATGCCTCGTAATCGAATTCGTCAAATACGATCATTCACTTCACCAAAATGAACAAGCTCTGCCGATATCGTAAATCAAAGACGGCTCGTCGCGTTATCAGTGATAAAAGTGTAACCGGTTGCGTCGCCTGGATCGATCAAGCAGCGGATCAAACGGAATTCTATTCGCGTTTCAGAATTTTAATTAATTCGATATCCGCGACCTGTCCGGTCTGCTGCGATCGTTCAGCGATTAAAATTCGTATCCGGAAAATACGAATCTGAACTTTTAGCACGCTTATTCACTCCTTGCTTCCACTATTAGGATACAAACGTATCGGCAGCTGGAGCACAGACTCAATTTCTTTGATGTATTTTCTCATTTATGCTAAATTAAAGTACATAGTTATGGTTTATAACAATTACGGCAATTAACCAGACTGATAAAAATGCAAACAGACTTACAAACGCAGTAAGAGCAAACATCGTTAGCCACTTAATAAGCCGTGACAATTATATACCCACTATCAATTAACACGAACAAAGAGGAATAGAATGTTCCTTGAAAACGAAAAGAACATTGGCGGACCGACTTAAACTTCATAAATCATGGGAGGACAGGGGCTAGTCCTGAAGTCGCAGGTATTAATGAACAATGTCCCTCATCTAACTTTCTCTCTCTCTCTCTCTTTCGTTGGTCTCTCTCCCCGCGTCTCACCTACGCACGGGCCGCCCCACTTCCGGCGGATGTACCCTGATAAATGGGAATCTCTCAGCGAGCGCGCGGCCACTCGGCCGTATACACCTACGACGCGAGCGCACCGCGCCGAATGAGAAACGAGCCGGGAGCGGTGCTCGTCTTCGAGGCCGGCCAGAACAAGAAGCAGGAGGAGAAAAATGAGGGGACGGAGCCACTCTCTTTCTCCGGCTGCCACGTTCGAACCAGAGGGAAGCGTCGAGTTAACGATTTCACTCCACGAAAACGACAACGACGACGACGACGACGACGACGATGATGCGTTTCACGAGGCGACGCGACGCCCGTGTGTGGTCCCTCTCGATTTGACACGGTTCAATTTACGACCGTGATACCGATAAGATTTCTCTCAATTATCAATACTACCTGTGTAAATGATCGAGCGATCGTCGATTGCAAATATTGGTCGATGAACTGCGAGTACTTCGGATTCGTTTCGAAAAAAGGATTCCACTGGGCGGCTCGAAATAGAGCGGTGATAGGTACGACGAGATGACAGGCTTCTCTCTTCGTGGTCCGTTCACACCGGGCCGGTTAATGTAGCGGTTTCATCGCTCGGGGTTTGTGTTTGTCGTGTACATTAACAGCGTGACAAACTGCGTCACGCTACTGGCCCGCGTGAAACGACTTTGTCCGGGCGATTCTCACGTAAAGACGTTCGGAAGAAAACGGAACGGGAAGGGTAAGAGAGAAAATCAAAAATTCCGAGAGAGGGTCCGGAGAGGGAAAAAAAAGGGAAACGAATGGGGGACCGAGAGCAGACCTGGAACCGGGCCTGTAAGGGAAAAGAAATTGCCCGGGGAGAGGCCCGGCAGTCAGGGAGAGAGATACGGTTGGAACATTTGTTTAGTTGGCTGCAATTAAGCCACTTGGCGGCAATTGTTTGTCGCTCAGCAGAGAATTCCGCTCCCACCGTGCGGTGCGCGCTCGTAAAGCACGCGTATGGTGTGCGTAGACGAGCTGGCCGCGCTGTTGCACCAACTAGCCACCAACACGGTAATTCCAGACGATAAAACCGGGGTTAGGGGTCAACCGGGTCCAGTAGCCGGTGTAGCCGGCCAATCAGCGGACGCGATCGCGAGAGCTCGCGAGAGACGCGCGAAGCCGCGACGACGACGGACGCCGATGAATTGCGCACCGAAGTCACGCGACGATCCGCATTTTTATTGGCTGCGATCCGTCGACATAGATTCGACGAATCGGCGGCAGGAAGTGCAGACCGGTTGCACTTTTCATTATGCGGTTCATCGTGAGTCGATCAATTGATCCGTTTGAAGTTTTGTGAGAGAAGCGGCGGGACGCGTCGAGAGGCAGCCTTCGAGATTCGAAAACGGCAGTGACGTATCCGTTCAACTTTGCTCTTTCACGAAAGGCCGGGAGCGAACTGCGAGCGTCGAGAAAGATCTCCCGGTGCGTACAACAGGTCCGCTCGTAAATCGTTCACGGAAGGTCGCACGGTTCCTGGATCCGAGTACGAGTAAAAGAAATTGGGCCATTAGAACCGGGGAATCGGTTGATTTAGTTAGCCGGCTCGGGTAATGGGCAAATGATCGTGGCCTACCGTGCCGATTTCGCATTTCGGGGCTCGGGGTGAAGCACCTAACGGCCATTCTCTCTCCGTCTCTCTCTTCCTCGTTGTGCACCGGTGCACCTCTCAATTTCGGCTCATTTGCCTACCAAATACACCCGCCTATAAATACATGGCTGCTCCTCTGAACGGTGAACGGGTCTCAAGGTCATCGGTAATTACCTCACCGCTCTATGCCCTTGTGCGCCACTCCCCCCTTTCTCCACGACCGAATCGATTTTTATCGCTGCGTTCCTTTCTTCGACTCATCCGATCTGAATCTTCACCCTCGAACTAATTTAACA